TAGGAGTTAATCGATAGGAGGCCAAGTTGTGATTAGTTTAGCACCATATTGTGATTCACATTTTGGATAATTGTAACAAAAATGCCATTTTCTGAAGTATTACAAATATGTCATTATAAATAGCTAAATAGACAAATATCATCAACTAAAACAACAAATAACACCGTTATACTAAGTTCTATAACCTTTTGTACACTATTTTTTCTAATTATTTAATTAGATTTAAAAAACTCTAAAATCAAATTAATAAAAATTAATTTTAGTAAGTAAACAAAATGAATAATTCTCCCTGTCCCGGGTTGGGGACAAGGAGGAAGACAGGGCGCCACATGGCACCCCGTTGAAACAAAATATTGGAAAATACTACACTTGACTCTTCCGACATAATTAAAATTCTTAATTATTCTATTTTATTAACATTTTGTTCAATGAATAAAATTTAAAATCAATCAATTGAAATAATCTGTCTTAGATGTTATTTTGTCGCTAAAAAATCAATTTCTTATTCATTTTAAGCCCTCGTTTATTTCTCATTTTTGGAAGAATGAGAATGAAAAATATAGTCGTTACGGGCCCACACAAGAGATAGAAATTCAAATTTGGTGGCTTGATGTGATAGATAACGATTATATTTTTTATTTTAATGAGGAAAAAATGGGAACCAGACAGGGGCTAAGTTGGAGCAACTCAAAAAAATATTAAGAATGCATGAGTAATTTTATTAGTATTTATTGCGGGTGAATTTTTTCTTTTGTACAAATAATCTTAGAAAATAAATCCCCGCTCGATTTTTCGTGGCTCAAAATGATTTCTACCCGTGAGTGATGGTAAATAAAGAACCGAGTCTATCTCTCTCTGAAATTAGGGAGAGTCCATAAACCATTTAAGAAATATTTGTTCGACCCTTTTTCTCTCTAACACCTCCCTCTATAAAAATCCCTTCATTGCATTCCATTTTTTCACAAAGCAAGAGAAGAAAGAAACAAAAAAATGGCAAAGGCTGTTGCTCTCGTCTCTGCTTTATGCATCTTAGCCTTTGCCACTGTTGCTCACTGCCATGCACCAGAAGTATTCGATGTCGAAGGTTATGTGTACTGCGATCCATGCCGCGTCCAATTCGAGACCAAACTCAGCCACAAAATTGCCGGTAATTATTCTAGCTCAACTATCTATGCTATTTAAAACAAAACGAACATCTAACTCACCTCTATGTATATTCTATTTAGGTGCGACTTTGAAGTTGGAATGCAGTGATCCAATAACTCGGAATGTGACGTACTCAATCGAGGGTGTAACAGATAGCAATGGACACTACAAGCTGAAGGTAAAAGGAGATTACGGGGACAACATCTGTGAGGTGACTCTAAACAAGAGTCCCGAAGCTGAGTGCAATGTGCCAATGGTTGGCCAACAAACATCAAGGATTGTATGTACTGAAAATAGTGGAATGCACGACTCTGTACGTTATGCAAATGCATTAGGGTTCATGACCAAAGACTCAATCTCGGGCTGCAAAGAGGTTCTTGATGAATTGGGTCTCGCCCCAAAGGATTTGGATCTTTGAATTTAAGATTATTAAAGCTTTTGCCATCGAATAGGAGGAGGATATTATGAATAACTGATGGCTTCTCCTGCATTGTTTCTATCCCACCCCAACCAAATATTGTAATATGACAAGTTTTTTTATGCAATAGTATGGTGGAATTGCAATATCTTTCTCTTCTCTTCTTCCAATAATTAATATTAAATTATATATGAACGTGGATAAGTATATTTATTTTCACAAAGAATGTGCCTATGTTTGGACGTCATTAAAAATTACTTGTAATTTAGAATTAAAGTCAATTTTTAATTTAAATTATCTAATCATAATTATTACTCGGTTATTATCTACTCATTTAATGACTCCCTACTCTTTCCATTATGAGATTATAAGAAAATTATGATAATCTCAATATAGAAGTTATCTCTACTACAGGTATATGAGCTAGACCCAAGCACAAGACCTGATTATGATTGAAATGGTGATGAGTGAACCTGGTGGTATTTAGCGTTCCCGCTACTTCGTCGGGCGCGTGTAACCTGAAAAATGAGGGCGGGGCTTTCTCCCTCATTTTACCTCCGACGTGATAATTAGTATATGGTATTAGGAAAAATAAGGAGGAAATTCAGATGGCTAAGAAAAATGCTATCCCCCATACCTTTGTCACTTTCGAGGGTATTTATAGACACCGAAAGCCGGTGAACGTCGCACGGCCGTGGTGCCACGTGTCCCACGTTGGCTTTCCCACTACCCCCACGTTCTGAGTGGGGGGTCTTTAACATTCCGGCTGGTGGTTGTGCCCATGGTAACTGCCATGAAACATTGTCAATTTATCAGAGGTCTTGTGGCTAAGTATTAGGGTTGTCATGTAGGTAATTCCATGTCGGTCGACGATATCGCGTAGAGGTAGAGCGTCCCTGAGGGTCAATGGCCTTGCGTAGAGGTATAGAATCCATGGGGGGTCGATGGCCACGCGTAAAGGTAGAGCCCTCGGGGGGTCGATGGCCACGTGTATAGATAGAGCGCCCCGCGGGGGTCGATGACCTCGCGTAAAGGTAGAGCGCCCCCTGAGGGGTTGATAGCCACGCGTAGAGGTAGAGAGCCCATGGGGGTTGATGGCCTCGCGTAGAGGTAGAGCGCCCCCAAGGGGTAAACTTTCCGTCTGAAGGAAACCTGTGCAAAATAAATTGAATTAATCCCAGCTTGGTTGAAATTAAATTAATCAATGTGGCCAACAACAATTTACCGCGAAGAATCATCAAAGCATAAACCCTGATTTCGCGCTTTACCTTCGATCCCCCATTTTATTACATTGAATAGCTAAGTTATTGAAAATTTCAGGTTCCATTGTTTTGTTTATGATTTGATTTCACTATTGTTTATGCTGTTCACCATAATTTCTTTTGCTTTTTAATGGGTTTTTGTTATTTTGTGATCTCATGGGAGACTCAACGTCTTCTCAGTGAACCAGGTAAACCCCGTAATATTCATACGTGTGCATGTGTGTAATCTGTAGTTAAACTTAACATCTGAACTTAATAATATACAAACATTAGTGTTGACCCCAAAAAATAACACAACAGATGTCGGGGTCCACTCGTGTCCATGTGGCAAATTCTGGCACGTTTGGACCGGAGATTTGGTCGGATGGTTGGTAAAGCCGTGAATGTGGGAGATGCTCCGGACTGGAGGCGTAACCGTTTCAAGCACCGACGATAATATCGAAAGTGAGAGTAGAGACAATAGGATCACAAACACTTCTACATGTAATCCAACACTACAGCGAGTCAATATCTAGAGACGGGTGATTTTATAACAAGCATATATAGTTTGCATATATTATTTTTGCCATCCTTTACAATATTACGAGAGTCGCTATTTATACCTTCAGAACGAAGTGGTCACCGTTGGATCAAATCTAAGTGGCTTCATCCAGCACACCAAGTCTCACATCAATCTATCGTGCATCAATTACATTGACAAGCGTTAGCCATCCTACATTTTTAGGCTGAAAAGGCTGTTGCTCTCGTCTCTGCTTTATGCATCTTAGCCTTTGCCACTGTTGCTCACTGCCATGCACCAGAAGTATTCGATGTCGAAGGTTATGTGTACTGCGATCCATGCCGCGTCCAATTCGAGACCAAACTCAGCCACAAAATTGCCGGTAATTATTCTAGCTCAACTATCTATGCTATTTAAAACAAAACGAACATCTAACTCACCTCTATGTATATTCTATTTAGGTGCGACTTTGAAGTTGGAATGCAGTGATCCAATAACTCGGAATGTGACGTACTCAATCGAAGGTGTAACAGATAGCAATGGACACTACAAGCTGAAGGTAAAAGGAGATTACGGGGACAACATCTGTGAGGTGACTCTAAACAAGAGTCCCGAAGCTGAGTGCAATGTGCCAATGGTTGGCCAACAAACATCAAGGATTGTATGTACTGAAAATAGTGGAATGCACGACTCTGTACGTTATGCAAATGCATTAGGGTTCATGACCAAAGACTCAATCTCGGGCTGCAAAGAGGTTCTTGATGAATTGGGTCTCGCCCCAAAGGATTTGGATCTTTGAATTTAAGATTATTAAAGCTTTTGCCATCGAATAGGAGGAGGATATTATGAATAACTGATGGCTTCTCCTGCATTGTTTCTATCCCACCCCAACCAAATATTGTAATATGACAAGTTTTTTTATGCAATAGTATGGTGGAATTGCAATATCTTTCTCTTCTCTTCTTCCAATAATTAATATTAAATTATATATGAACGTGGATAAGTATATTTATTTTCACAAAGAATGTGCCTATGTTTGGACGTCATTAAAAATTACTTGTAATTTAGAATTAAAGTCAATTTTTAATTTAAATTATCTAATCATAATTATTACTCGGTTATTATCTACTCATTTAATGACTCCCTACTCTTTCCATTATGAGATTATAAGAAAATTATGATAATCTCAATATAGAAGTTATCTCTACTACAGGTATATGAGCTAGACCCAAGCACAAGACCTGATTATGATTGAAATGGTGATGAGTGAACCTGGTGGTATTTAGCGTTCCCGCTACTTCGTCGGGCGCGTGTAATCTGAAAAATGAGGGCGGGGCTTTCTCCCTCATTTTACCTCCGACGTGATAATTAGTATATGGTATTAGGAAAAATAAGGAGGAAATTCAGATGGCTAAGAAAAATGCTATCCCCCATACCTTTGTCACTTTCGAGGGTATTTATAGACACCGAAAGCCGGTGAACGTCGCACGGCCGTGGTGCCACGTGTCCCACGTTGGCTTTCCCACTACCCCCACGTTCTGAGTGGGGGGTCTTTAACATTCCGGCTGGTGGTTGTGCCCATGGTAACTGCCATGAAACATTGTCAATTTATCAGAGGTCTTGTGGCTAAGTATTAGGGTTGTCATGTAGGTAATTCCATGTCGGTCGACGATATCGCGTAGAGGTAGAGCGTCCCTGAGGGTCAATGGCCTTGCGTAGAGGTATAGAATCCATGGGGGGTCGATGGCCACGTGTATAGATAGAGCGCCCCGGGGGGATCGATGGCCTCGCGTAGAGGTAGAGCGTCCCTGAGGGTCAATGGCCTTGCGTAGAGGTATAGAATCCATGGGGGGTCGATGGCCACGTGTATAGATAGAGCGCCCCGCGGGGGTCGATGACCTCGCGTAAAGGTAGAGCGCCCCCTGAGGGGTTGATAGCCACGCGTAGAGGTAGAGAGCCCATGGGGGTTGATGGCCTCGCGTAGAGGTAGAGCGCCCCCAAGGGGTAAACTTTCCGTCTGAAGGAAACCTGTGCAAAATAAATTGAATTAATCCCAGCTTGGTTGAAATTAAATTAATCAATGTGGCCAATAGCAATTTACCGCGAAGAATCATCAAAGCATAAACCCTGATTTCGCGCTTTACCTTCGATCCCCCATTTTATTACATTGAATAGCTAAGTTATTGAAAATTTCAGGTTCCATTGTTTTGTTTATGATTTGATTTCACTATTGTTTATGCTGTTCACCATAATTTCTTTTGCTTTTTAATGGGTTTTTGTTATTTTGTGATCTCATGGGAGACTCAACGTCTTCTCAGTGAACCAGGTAAACCCCGTAATATTCATACGTGTGCATGTGTGTAATCTGTAGTTAAACTTAACATCTGAACTTAATAATATACAAACATTAGTGTTGACCCCAAAAAATAACACAACAGATGTCGGGGTCCACTCGTGTCCATGTGGCAAATTCTGGCACGTTTGGACCGGAGATTTGGTCGGATGGTTGGTAAAGCCGTGAATGTGGGAGATGCTCCAGACTAGAAGCGTAACCGTTTCAAGCACCGATGATAATATCGAAAGTGAGAGTAGAGACAATAGGATCACAAACACTTCTACATGTAATCCAACACTACAGCGAGTCAATATCTAGAGACGGGTGATTTTATAACAAGCATATATAGTTTGCATATATTATTTTTGCCATCCTTTACAATATTACGAGAGTCGCTATTTATACCTTCAGAACGAAGTGGTCACCGTTGGATCAAATCTAAGTGGCTTCATCCAGCACACCAAGTCTCACATCAATCTATCGTGCATCAATTACATTGACAAGCGTTAGCCATCCTACATTTTTAGGCTGATAGGTCTTACACGCATTAATGTAAGTGTTATATCAATCATTCATATCAGTCCTCTTTAAACACAAAGCACCTCGGCCTTAAGAAGAGGAGGAGCCTCGGATATGAGGAGGTTCAACTTCAAGGTGAAGCGCCTCGACATATCAACTTTGGATGAAGATAGCACTTCGGCCATATAGCAGTTCTTGTCTCTGTCCCTATCTTGGCTTGTTCAACGTCTGCACGCAATGCCTTCATGTGGCACCTGCACGTGGCCTTTGCTGGAAGCTTCATACAGGTGGGATAACAACTAGTACATGCATTACATTATGTAGAACTGTATCAACTTTTTCTTATTCTGTATTAAAGATTTAATCTTGGGTTATTTCTTTATCTATTTGAAATTTTTTATCCCTGTTCTCCCCTGTTTTGTTGACTCCTTCAATTTGTTTCACTGTGTTTACTTTATGTGTATATTCAGCTCTCTGTCATTTAAATTCGGGTTTTAAATGTATATATTTTTGTCTAATATTGATCTCCGGCATATGTTAAATAAACTTCTATTTATTTTTTCGGTATTGACTTTTTCTTTGTGCCTCTGTCAAGAATCCTATGTTATTTGTAAGTAGAAGCAGTTTCCGAGTTGACAAATATGGGAAATGTTTAGCCGTGGGATCTAAAGGGTTCAATCTTAGTTAACAAGTTATGTCTTAGGATATTTGTACTTTTTAGCGATAATTCTTATTGATGCTTAACAGCCAAAACCTTTGGATGTTTTTCTTCTTTTCATCGCTTGAGATATGGAATTAGAGTTTGAGGCTTCTAAGTGTTCTTTTGGTTTGTGGATGCAGCTCCAGGAATAAGTGGATCTCCATCCGAAGACAATATGCGGGGTTACGCTCCGATCTTATACGCCTCGAAATGCACAGCACCACATATTCCGACCTGATAAAGACCCGTCTGAAGTGTTTCCGAAGTGATACAAGCGATTCCTATTACTGACCTGCCGAAGCACCTCACCCCTAAGATCGAGACCAAGTGGACCCCGGTTAGAAGATCCTCCGCTAATTTCAAAAAGAGATTTGTTCCAAGATCCTTCCTGCACCTAAGGTTTAAATTGATTTGACGTCTCCATGAGGCTAGTTAATGTGACTTATCAACTTTATATCAATTCAACTCAGAAGAAACAAACTGTCCGCCCACTCTACAGAAACGGTTGATTGACGCCTATGAGCGGACGCCTCATATCGCCAGATGTATACATGTGTCCCACATCCAACGGTTCATACCACCTATAAATACCCAAGGTTTGGTAAGAGGTAAAGGTAATGAAACTCTTACTACTTAGCACTCCATAGCAAGCTTATATATTTTCGCCTCCCCCTTTATCATTGATTTGCATAGCCACTGGGTACTGTTCCGACCATTTAGACCTGACTTGACCGTCGGAGTGTATATGGCCACCCCCGCTGGTTCAGGCCGTGTGCGTTTGACTATTCGGTGATTGTGCGCAGGGAGGAACACGTGGAGTAACTTTTAGTTTGCCACGTGGAAGGACCAATTTTCGAGGTCAACAGATTGGCGCCGTCTGTGGGAATCACTCCCCATTCGAAGTTTTGCATTCTCCATCGGAGAACTTACCCAAAAACTAGCAACTAACCCTGAAAAGGGACATTCTTGAAAAAGAATAGAGTCGAGTTACAATCCAAGTTCTCACTACCCTTGAAAAAAGAGGTAGGATGAGCTACAGCCATGAAGACGACAACCCCATGAGAGAGGCCTCTGAAGAAGAGGTACTCCATAACAATGTTACTCATCAGAGACCACATCACCGGCGTCGCGGAGGTGGAAGAACAGCCATACTCATTGAAGGAATGGCTTAGATAGCTGCAGGTATGAGAGACATAACAGGTCAGAATATGGCGATGCAGGAACTCCTCATGCAAGCCCAGGGTCATCAGGGCTATCAAATGCCCCAAGGATCTTATCCAGGGAGGGAAACCCCTGTATCTCAGTCCCGAAGCCACATGAGCCGGCACACAGAACGTCCCCTCGAAAGGGTGATGAACGCCGAAGCTACATCTTATGTGCAAGGGAGTCAGCCATCAGAACCACGCTTGGGGGATAATTTCCCTCAGGAACATGAGGACCAAAGGTCGGTAAGCGTCTTCAACCGGATAGGAGAGGATCCTAGCAATAGGGTCCGCCCAGCAAGAGGATCAGTTCGTCCGGATCACGAATAAGAACATGCTCCCCCTCCTCCTCCTAGAAATAGGAGAGAGAGAGGAGGAATCTAGTCGATTGGAAAAGTCGAGGAGAAGCACCTCCACCTCTCCAGGACGTCCAAGATGATGAAAGGTTAGATGGGCCCTGTCGATCTTATGAAATTGACGATGATGATGATAACCTCCCTTTCTCAAGGGAGATCTGAAGCTTCCCAATGCCAGCGAATTTCATGCCCCTTAAGATCCCCAAGTATGAAGGAAAGGGGGATCCGGAGAAGCACCTCACCAAGTACATGACACAGATGAGCCTGAGGGGAGCCTCGCATGCTTTAAAATGCAGGGCCTTCCATTTAACACTAGGCGGGGCCGTCGAGGTATGGTACAGCAGGCTTCCTCTCCTAAGCATCAGAAGTTGGCCAGATTTGAAGAAAGCATTTTTGAACCAGTACCTCTCACGCAAGGAAGGAGAGGCACCAATTCAACGCCTGCAAGACATGAGGCAGGCCCCTGGGGAGATGCTGAAAAGCTATCTCGCCAGGTTTACAGACGAAATTACTAACTGCGAACAGGTCACTGACAGAGAAGCCCTTTCAGCCCTGAAAGGTGGGCTCAACATGAACACTTTGTTCTGGAGGGACGTGCACAACAAGAATCCCTCCACATATGATGAGCTGGTGGAAATGATGAGAGTGGAAATTGTTAGTGAAGAAATGATTGATCATCGCAACCGT